AACTGAGTTACTGTGTTGGCTGGATCTGTGTGTGGCACATCCACAGACAATCCCTAAAGGGTGTGCTTCCTCCCTAAGGGGAAGTAACCCTGAAAGAAAGGTCAGAGGATGAGGTGTTTCCTGCCTGTGGAAAAGTGGAAGGATTTTGTGAGAGCAAGCATCAGGAGGGGAATTGCCTTTGTTCTCTTCATGTTCTGTTGTTACTTAGCTTGTGCCTGTGTCATCATTCCACTGCCTGCTTGTGCTACCCCATCCCCACCAAGAAAGAGAGCACAACGTCACACAACGATATTTGGCCTAGAAGCACCACGTAGTAAAAAAAATTCTTCATTTATTATAAAGTCAATGGATACTTTTTGTCCTGAGCTGTAATTGTTACTAAGCCCTCCCCGACCATCTCATCCCATTAGGCTGCTCTGCCCGTGTGAAGTGACTACGTGGATGTAAGTGTGTTAGTCAATGAGATTTCGGCGCTTTGTTTTAGGTTTAGTGTTGTGACTTTGACATCATCGGTTTCCATCCTCTTCCCATCCTTTGTGAAGTTTTATGCTAGCTCCATTCAGTTTATTCTTGGAACCTCAGTTGATAATCCACAGAATTGCACTCAGAAATGTATTGAACACTTGCAGAATTTATATAGCATTTGGTAAAAAATTGTCTCGGGGTTAACCATTCACCACAGGCATTGATCTTGACTTGACACACACCTGGAGTTGTATCTTGGTCTCTTTCCATCAATGCAAATTAGCTATGTTTAATCTTGTCTCAACCTTGACATTTTATCAGTGGAAATGAACTCTTAAACCCTCACGTCAGCAATTGTAAAAGCAAGGCCTATTTTTCTAACAAGACCAAGTAGTAGAAGTCATTTTTGTCTGCCAATATTTTTTCTTACAATCCTGAAGTCTAGTAGCCTGATTCGTTTTTTATAGTTTCCAAATTATTTTACTGCCTGTGAAGTAACAAAACCCTTAATTTATCCATGGATCAACTATAACCTGGGCTGCAGTAGTGCAAGCTTCCTCACAGTATCCCAACACCAAACATCACAGGAATGAAATGGAAAATCAACCACTAGATGTAGGCATGCATATCATTTTAGTGTTTTAAAGGGCATATTCAGCAGCCATATAGCCATGTTTTAATATAATACTGTGACAGCACACAAAAGGCTACACTGAACGCTTACCAGATCATCAAAGATGTCCCTCTGGTGCACGTGGATAGTGATTAGTGTCTCATATTTAATTCGCTCCACTGGACTGAGGTCTTTGGTTGTCATGTCTATCAGAGTGTTCAGCAGGTCTAAGAAAGATTGGTTTGTCTTCTGCATTATTTTTTTATCATATCTGGCATTAGTCAATGCCTCTTCTGAGTCTCTTGTCCAAATCATTTGGATCCCCAATAACCCAACCTTGTGAAAAAACAAACAGTATGCTCTGTGACGTTTTTTCAGTTAGCATACATAAATATGCTTTTCTATTAATACTTAATAAATTACTCAATAAAATTAAATACTTAACAATTTATTAAAAGGTGTAACTCATGCCTTCATCAGAGAAGTAAAACTAATGTGAGTTTATATCCCAAGTCTAGATCTATTTGGTGTACAAATGTGATGCCTTTTGAAAAATCAACAGGAGCTGCACACATCTGAGGATGACATTTTTTTAATCAAGGTTCACTCAAACATATTTTCTCCTAATCCCACTATATATTTGCACTTTTATAGTGCTGTTTATTAGTAGATCTCAAAAGGCTTTACAAATCATTTTATTAGCTTTATTTATTAGCTCTTCACCCATTTTAAGAAGCTTACCTGGGCTGGGAAAGAAGAAAGAAATTCAATCAACTGGAATCCAGTTTCCTGGATATCCATGGCTGCCTGGTGAATGACAATATGTAATGAGGATTGGGATTCCTTTAAGAGAGAATTGAGCCAGACTTCCACATTACCCTCAGCCTTTACAGGTTTATCCAAGTCAATTGTCTCACCCTCTCGAGAACAAATTGACAGAATGCGATCATATATCTAGTTGAAACCAAAAAATACATTGTAATATACAGAACATTATTGCTATGAGCTTGTCATTTCTCCAACATCTCCACAACACCATTAACTATTTTTAATCCTGGTAATTTATTGAACAGGTCAGGTTGTACCTGCCAAAAGAAAATAGCCACAGTAACAAATTAATAACTACTGATCCTGGTAGGGCTTATTCAGAACCAGGGTTTCCTTTAACAGTGTTTTAGCAGTAACTGAAGCAAACTTTCAAATGAATAATAGGCTGTAAAATGATCTCACTTGTTAAGTTTTACTTCTTATTTTCATGTTAGTGCCTAGAGACCCCAATGATCTAGGCACTATACAGATGCACTCACTACGCTTAAAGTCTTAAACTGAAAAACAGACCAAGAGTGGGATGCTGAGGAACTGAGTATTAAGGAACTTGTCCAAAGTCACACAGACAATCACTTGCAGAGTCAGAAGCCAAATCAGTGTCTGAGTATTAATTCAATGCCTTAACTTCAAGATTATACTTAATCTACAAGAGGGGTTTTTTTAAAGCTCCTGAGGTTTTCAGTACACAAAGCAATAGGATTTGTGCTTGTGAAATCTGTAGTCATTTTTGTACGTCTCCCCACCAAAAACCTAAAGGCTCAGTTTCTCACTGTTTCCCTACTCCCAGTAGATTTGCTAAGGATGAAATCAGAATGCAAAAAGACTGCTTACATTGTACATCCCCACAGGTGTAGTCCCAGTATTCCCATAACTACCAGGGCTGCTCTAGGAACATGCCAATACCAGTACAAACCTCCCCAGAATGTAACTAGTGAACTTGTGATACTATTTACCTTGAGTGGAAAAGTGTGCTTTGTTTGGAATAGGGAGGAGATGGGAAATAACCTAAAATCCCAGTAGTTAACTGTCACAGATATTAAACACTTGGCCTTTACAGGTCTGATTTCATAAAAAATACAAGACAGCCATTCTTGTTTTGCCTGTTTTCTAACTCTAACACCTGGGCTTCAAAGGTCAACTGGAAAGTGATTGGTTTTAAGTTTTGCAAGTGATATCGTGGGTGGGGATAACCTAGATAGGGAGAAAATTATTTCTAACCAAAAAAATGATATACACACACAGGGCACATACTTGTGGCAATCTAGTTCTTTTTCATTGGAAACGCAGGGGAAATTTTATAATAGAACATAAGTTTCTCTTTTGCATGACAGATGTGTGTTTTCAAAAGTCTAATCTCCTGTGAAGAATGTGTCAGTGTTTAAAACCGCTAACATGATGTCATGTTCCTAAGCCAACATATAGGTGCAAGTTTCTGAACTATCATCCTCTCTACACACAATTAATTTGTTATGTGAGCTAAGATTCGGAACCCAAGTCCCTTGAAGAAAAAGTCTAATCAGCACTAGGGCACTCAAGATTCTTTGTGTATCTGGTGCATGGACCATTTACCCTTATAACTTTGCATTTAACAAACACTGTGCATTGCTTGCCAATTTGCAAGACAAGTGTGGCAAGATTAGAGCAGTGCCCACCTTTTCATGGAACCTGACAGTTTTAATGTTGTCAAAGACATTCAGCAGGTGAGCCTGTATAGTGTGAGAGTCTGATGCCTGGCCAAGTATCTCCAAGAGAGCAGGGTCCGACACAAAGAAGAACCGAGGAAAGGAAAGTCGTTTTTTCTCAAGGTACCTGAGTTTAAAAAAAACAAGCCTCATGGTGGTAATTTATTCAGCACTGCCTTCATAAGGTGAGCTTCATCTTATCCCTTTGGTGATGGGAGACCAAAGTTTTCTCAACACAACACATTAATACAGTTTTCATTAGTGGTAATAATAGCAGTTCAGACCAACTGTGCCCCGATGGGTTAAGATTCTGCTTTGATGTTACCATTTGGAATTACAGATTATCTCACGGCAAAAAGCCAGTGGAGGTTACAGATCACTCAGAATAGTAATTAAAATTTAAGAGTGCAGTTCTAGCTTGCTGAAGTTGGATGCATTTGTTGAAAGTGTTACTAATGAACTCCATGTCAGGCTTCCTTTACTTCAAAATTAAGTTATGGACTAACTTGCACCCTCTTCTTACATGGATGCACAGAAAATAAGCCTGCACCCCCAGGCCCAATGCAAGAGAAAAGCACTGAAGGAATCATTCTGTTGTCTAATCCTGTGGTTGTGCTACTTATCACCATTTTCTTGGAGTTGTACCCTATTAACAGTCTTACCCTGTAAGTGACTTTTGACAGATTTCGAGCTGTTCTAACAAGTGTGGCAGAAGCTGCCCCATGGTTTCATCTCCAACACAGCATTGGACCACATTTGGCATCTCATGGGCCCGCGTCAAGATCTTCACCCATGATTTATCTATGTTAGAGAAACGCTTGGCTTCCTATGGGGAAAGGAGGGGAAAGCAGGTCATCTACATAACTGAGATCTTCAATTCAGATAGAATGAATTCTGAATTCATGAATGCTGCTAAAACTAATCTCCAGACCACGCAGATTTTGTCAACTATCCCCACAGAATGTCAACTTTGGTAGGTGTAATACAGGCTAAGTATTCTCTGTCAAAGCGTTTACATTTAGTTTTCAAGTCTCTGGCACTGAACCCAACATTTCCCTTCCCTCCTCACTGAAGGAAGCAGGACTGCTCAGTTGCCAGCATTTAGATCCATCATGTTTGACAGAGTCCCCCAAATGTATATTACTTTCCAAAAAGTAATGTTAATTTTAAAATTAAAGAAACTAGGAGAAATGTTAGAAGAGGACGACTTCCACCAGAACTGTATGCCCTTTTTAGTTTGAAAGATGAGTGGACACCTGTAACAATTATTAGTAACTAAGTAACAGTCTAGACATGAAAAAGCCTACGGGGTCATCTAATTTAATTTACCTCCCCGTCAGTACAGTAATGTTCTCGATTGTACACTCCATGTTATAGTCAGTCTAGTTTTAGTATGTACCCAACAATGGGACTTAGACTATCCCATAGGCAAATACATCTCAGATAAGTTTCACTCACAAAATTAACAGTGAGAAGCTCAGATGATATATGGATTCTTTATCCAATCTGATTTCACATTAAGAATATACTATTTTTAAATGATAGAGGATATACAACACATTATATATACACACACACACACACACACATCTATACTTTGATCATTTGCTGTTTTTACATGACTTCATGAATGGCTGCATTATCTGCTGTGCTGAAGTTTATGAAGCAACTGCTGAAGTTACATTTGTTTTGTATCAGAACAATGAAATTGTTTGTTCAAGTGCAATTGCTTGTGCTCCTAATTATTGGATTTGCACTTGGAATTAACTTGAATATGCAACATGTGGTGCAAGTTGTGCAAACAAAAAGTGAATTTTGATTATAGTAACACTTAAGAGGATGCAAAAAAGTAAATAAAAATATTGCTTTCAATAGACAGATAATCATGCACTCTTTTCAATATTAATACATATAAACTATCACTTTACTAGTTGTCCACAGTAAGGTATGGCAGACATCTATGATGAGAGGAAGCTAATAATCAATGGCCCAAATCATGTCAATGTAAACTGCACCAGATGTGCGGCCCAAAATTTGTTTCTCAAAGAAGTTAATATTTGGTTGTGTGTATGCCTTTATTTCAACAAAACCAGTACAAATATCAATCATTTTAAGATCCTGAGCAAAAATTATCACATCATAGTTCAAAACCCCTATCTAGTACTTTTCAAAAATGGATTTCAGCTTTACACGCTGTTCTCTCCAAAAACCTTACCCCTCTGCCTACATTAAAAAAAGGCCTGAGGGTAGGAAGATGGCAAAGCAGGAATGCTGAAACCTACAGTTATAGAAAATGCCTCAGTCATTTTTTAAACTAATCCAGCTGTGTATTTAGAAAGTAGAGTTAAAAGAAAGTAGCTATTCAAAAACCTTTGGAAGCTGCTTCGCAATGTCTCCGCCCACAAAAACAGCCTCCAAATAAATCCACAAGTTCTGCACTGTCATCCAGTTCTCAATTATGTCTGTTGTGCTGGAAAGGTAGTGTACCCATTTTTGGATCTGCGCCTTGAATGGGGTGTTGTACCTAAAAAAAATGCATAAAGTTGCTGCTATTAAAAAAGAAAACTATGATTTTTAAAGCATATTTAGGCCTTATCAAGCACATGACATACTAAGTGGGGAGAATGCATGCCTTATGTAAATTGGACAGCACTCACCCTCCCGCCCCCATATGATAATATGCTACACTGACTTAAGGTCTTCTATATACAGTTTTTTCCAGCGTCAATTCCTGCTCATCAATAGTCCCTGGACTCCAATGGGAATGTTAAAGTGAGTAAGGAAAGCAGGACTTGATCCAGAATCTTTCAAAAGCCCTGGATACATAAATATAGGCAATGTGAACTACTCTAGGGACATTGAAGGGTCAACAATTATTTTAGTAATTTTTTTTCCCTCTAGCAGCTTACATAATGAAAGTTAATACAGCTATCTGTGGATAAGGAAGTAATCTGTAATTACTGTGATCTGTAATTACATTACAGATTGAAAAGTGTCAGAAACCCCAAGATTGCCAACATCGTCTAGCCACAATCTCACTTAATTGATAGGTCCTTAGCAACCAGTCATCCAAGATTCCCCTGACTCTTGCATCATTTTTGCATTATATTGTTGAGTTGTCACAAAATATAGAAATCCGGACTGGCATGCAAGAAAACAAGCTTTCCATCCAAAGAAAAGTTCCTCTAGAAGTGGACAATAGCCAATTCTCTTTATACAAAGATCTACAATAAACCCTATCTTTTCAAATTTTAAAATTAACACACATCATTGAGATAGCATTTTATACTCTAACCACACATGAAACTTAACATGGATTAGTTGTGTCCTGTAAACTGTACAGATATTTTACATAAGAAGTTCTTGGAACCATATATGGTCCTCAGTCCATGCAATTAGGTTCCCAGGAAGTCAGGGGATCATGCACAGATTAAAAGAATTGTTAAGCCTTTAGGTTCCGATCCTGTACCATGGATATGTATTTATACCTACATGGAGCCCCGCCAAGATCAATATGACTCTGCAGGGGCAAAGCTGACCACCTGCCTAGGCCAGCTTTCAGGATGGGGCCTTCCTTTGTACTAATAGGGAAATGTTTAGCATTAATATACCAGTGGTATTTCTGTATTTATTTTCTAATTTTTCCTTTTATGTTGGAAGGGGCAACTTTATCTAATAAGCCAATGTCTTTTGCTAACAATGAATCCCCTCTGCTGTTACCTGTTGCTCAAGAGAGAGCCCAGAACCATCAAGCTATCCTCCATGCTAGCAATCGTTTCTGAAGTGCTGTCTCCTCTCAAGAGCAGCTCACCACGAGTTTTAAAGTTGGCAAAGGTGAAAGTTTTGTTGTCCCACTCAGCAATCACCTGTTTCAGTTTCTGCTCAATGTCTCTCTCCTTCACCGCACTAATGCAAATATCCTAGTAAATAAATAGCCAGTTAATATGAGAAGCTCTTTCAGCTCAGCCTCACGCATCCCCATTCTACTCTCTCTCCATGAGCATTAGCTAGGCTAGATGGTTAACGTAAATCGGTAAGTGTAAAGACTACCAAGATACTTTTCACATGCAAAATAATGGAAACCTCTTTATTCATATTCATCTTAAAAGTAATACTCCTGAAAAAGGCAGGAACTTTGATACTGCAATCCTTCTACAGATGAGTTACATGAGAAGGTAGAGAGCTACTCTGTTCATTCCTGGCAGCCAGACCAGCTGTTTAACTCCAGTTTAAGGATACAAAAGGCTGAGTGGCTATACAAAAGAAATCTACCTACCTACAGTTTCTCAAGATCATCTTTCACCACAGTATATCTACTAGTGGTAGGGACAGGATGGCCAGCTCAGTAATGTTAAGGCTTCGTTACTTCATAAAAGAAATTCAAGGGAAACCTCAGGAATGGGGTGAGTATTTGGAAAGGATACCTTAGTGTGGTTTTGAGTATGTGAGAGTTGCTGAAGGATGTATGGATTCCTTCTATTTAACTACTATGAAAAATGTCACACTAAGGCTATTACAATGCCTTGAAAAGTGTTAACTGTTCATTTCGGTGCCACTCTAACAAATACCTCAATTTCCTCTTTATATTTCAGCAGAGGTGCTTCCATGATATTCCTCAATTTGAAGGTTTCGCTTTCCACCTCAAAGCTGTGTTCAGTGAGATCTGTAATCCTCTTCCAGTGCCGAGCCATCATGGCCTTATTTGACATAAGCTCAAGCAAAGGGCAGCACTCATTGAAATCATCAATTGTCTTCTTTAGATCCAAAAATGCCGGCCATTCCTTTAAAGCACGAGGAAGTTTGCGACACCTGCATATATACAATCAGTTAACTTTTTTAAAACATTTCAGATATTCCTTTATGTTACTGAATTAGCTAAGGTAACAAGGCAACAGCAATGGCACAACATATTTCTGAAGTTAAAGTAGAGTTTAATTTAAGTTCTCTGAATTTAGTAATTATACATGTGCTTTAGGAGAACCTGTTTTTTCCCCATCAGCCTATTTCACTGGCTGCAGATCAGGGAAGACTACACACCTGTTCTAAGGAGTTCAGCTGAACAATCGTACTACCCTTACAAAGAACATTTTAACTGTCTGTTACTCCATCTATGAGCCACTTTACTACATTATAAGAACTATTATCCCAGTAATATTTCTTCACCACATACAACTCTGGAATTCATTTTAAGTTATTTTTATTTTTCAAACAACATTTGCCAAATTTCAAAAATGGCAAAGAATTTAAATTTTCTCAAACATTCTCCTTTCCCAAACTTTTGACCAATACTACTGATTATGGGGTAACTTAGTGGCAGTATTCTGCCTGGATGTGCAGGATAATCAGGTTTGATTCTTAAACTCACTCAATTCCCTGTTTGACAAGAGCTTCAATTCTGTACACGTATGTCAGCTCCTGTTAGATAGGAAAAGTGTTGGGTTACACAGCAGCAACCCAGTAGGTTACTGAAGGGGTTCTTTGCAGTGGAAAGTTAATTTAAATTATTTCATTTGTATTTCAGAAAAATGTAACCATCTTTCAACTAGAGAAAAGTAATTATCAATTCCAAATTTGCCCTCTAGACACAAGGAAATTATTTGTTACTTGGAAAAAACTCCCAAGGAACAAGAATCCTTTAACTCTCAATTGGTAAACTACTCCCTCTTTGGTGAAGATAGTAAAGAGAGAAGAGTGGAAGATTTCAACTAAATTTTAAAGAGCAAGAACATGCTTATCTAAGTATAGTGAGTGAAAGGCAATCCATACCATTATTCAACAAAAAAACACCCAGCTTAATCTGTACACACTTCAACACTTCCTTACCTGTTCTGAAACTCCAGAAGTTCATTATTTATTTTCACAATGTTAACTTCTGACCAGAGGATATCGTAGTAGCCATTGACCGTGTCAATAACATTGTTGTACAGGCTGTAAAGTTTCTGTAGCAGGGTCAGCTGCGTCTTTATCTCAAGTAGCTGAGGATACTGGGTAACAGGCAAACCAAAAAGTTCTTCCCCACCAGTGTAGGTAATGTATTTTCGATAGAGGCTGTCAAATCGGTTCTAATAAAAATATATAGATGCAAATGCTAGTATTATGCTCAGAGCTCTACAAAAGAAAACACAGCCCCTGCTCACAAGCATCTATCATCTAAAAAGGCAGACAAGAGACACAGGGAGATGCAAAGGATGGTTAGAAAGTTATGTTTAAATAAAAATGGGACACTAAGTAGAACCTGTGTTTGAAGTCCTCATAGAAGAAGTAAGTGGTAGCCTACATGGTAGGTTAGAAGGTTGTTTCTGGAACACAGGGGTGGATTGAAGAAAGCAGTCGGATTGTTATCTTTGGTGGCACAGAGTGAGAAAGGTTGGTTATGATACGCAAGAGCAGAAATAAAGGCATAGGTGAGGTTTGCAGTGCCTTGAAAGCTAGGGTTCGGGTCTGAAGTGCAAATCCTCAAGTGAGGGATTTGAATAGGGAAGTCGTAGCTTTTCCTTCCTAACAATGCAGACCACATTTTGCCTGTGAACTCTGGCTGTACTTGAGGGAGCAACATGGGAAGCAGAGGCCAAATAAAGCAAACTGCTCTAATGAGAGTGGAAACTAATCAAGGCATGTGGAAGCATTTTATCAGAAGGGGTAGTGAAGAGTACATATGTTTGGGGGAGGGTTGCATAATATAAAGAAGTGGCAAGATTTGGCAAAAGCCTGGTGGTGTGGAGTGAGCATTAAAAAGTGAGACCAAAGATGCAGATATATCAAAGTGTATGCTCAGCACAATTAGACTCCAATCAGGACACCTGCACTTAGTAATTATGTTTTATTATACAAATTCTGTATGTACGATGCACGTTACCCATTTTTTGCTATTCAATTGTTTATTATTCCTTGCTAGCTAATGTCAAAAAAATTTCAACAAACTTTCATACCAGTAGGCAAAATTAAGTGGACTATGGCCATTGCATGAGGCTATATAGCCTTGTAGAATTTATTTAAGTATTCTGCTAAATTCTGACTTACTGAAATGTTTTTGCTACTTACATGACATTTTTATTAAGTCTTTGAATTGGGAATGAATACCTGGAACATGATAAGCCTGTCACTGGCTTCCTGAGGCTCAAGACCAACCGCCATTGGTCCATTCTGGAAGAAGAAAGTTAAAAACATTTGGCACATATGATTTCACTGTCTCTTCAAGTGTTAACTTCATTAATAGTTTTTACTACTGAGTTTTGCCACCCTGACTCATATCTAGTAGTACCAGAGAGATCAGCACGCCCATTCATAGGGAAAGGTGCTTGACACGACTAAGGGTGACAGAAGGGGATTCAAGTACTTTTCATACTTAATGAATTGGAAAGGACCTTTAAGAAGTACACATCGCTATACCCTTCTACTGTGGGAGAACAGATACTAGTGAGCTGGTTTACTGGAGACTGACTCTGCCTGTCTTCTTTGCAACAATGAATTTGGGAGGGTGCAAGAAGCTTCCACCCTCCTACATGCCAGACAAACCTTGCACTAACTGGAGTACAAGCATTAATAATAAAAAAATATATATAGACTATATGGAGATATACCTATCTCATAGAACTGAAAGGTCATTGAGTCCAGTCTCCTGTCTTCTCTAGCAGGACCAAGTACTGATTTTACCCCACATCCCTAAGTGGCCCCCTCAAGGATTGAACTCACAACCCTGGGTTTAACAGGCCAATGCTCAAACCACTGAGCTATCCCTCCCCCCCATTCAATAAGCTTGGCCTCCGAAACATTGAACTATCATCCCCATTTGCCCCCAGCTTCCCTTGCTGAAAAATCATGACCCCTACCACATGCTCCAGAAAAAAAAGTGAACTGACTCTCGTGCTCCATGATCACAGCACCCTCTGCAATGAAGTTGAACACCACAGAGTTTACAAGGGTCACCCAGAGAACTTCCAAGCTGTTTTTTTTTTAAGTTTCTTTCTTTTGAAACACTCCACAGATTAATACCTTGTCGTAGTCTGCATAGTACTGATGACAATCTTCAGTGAATATCTCCACAGTGCTAATTAATTCTCCCCTGAAGTTGGGCTGCAAAGCTACTAGCTCATTCTGCACTTCATTTGCCCGGACCAGAAGCTTCTCCCAGATATAGCGCAGGGTGTCCACCTTCTCCATCTCTTCCTTTGCCACCAGCAGCTCATATTTGTTTAACATTGCATAGGATTCCTGTCAGAACAATGGTTGCATCTATATCCACCATGTACAGAACATGCTATATTCTATACAAATACATATATAAATTCTCAAGATTTTAAATGTGGGAGACTGAAGACAGTGCCAGATGGTCTTTTAGAGAAGCAGGAAGGCTATGCTAATATAGTTGTGCATAAACAACAAATTCAGGAATCCATGATTACACAGAAATTAAAACTACTGTTTTTCCTCTTCACAGCTCTGATGGATTTTTGTTTGTGTTTCAACCTGTTCCTCTAAAATTCTTTGCTGGTTATAATGACAAGAGCCTATGTAATCTACAAATTCATTTTCATTGCCATAAGTGTAAGAAGAATTAAATTAAAGCTATGTTTCAGAACTGACCCACTATAATGACTACATTCAGCACTACCACCGGTAATACATGGAAGAGAGGAATAGCTAAACATTTTACAATAAAATAGCCAACACTCTTGAACAGATCTTCTTTTGCATACATGCTTAAATCTAATACACCTCTACCTCGATATAACGCTGTCCTCGGGAGCCAAAAAAATCTTACCGCATTATAGGTGAAACCGTGTTATATTGAACTTGCTTTGATCCACTGGAGTGCGCAGCCCCGCTCCCCCGGAGCGCTGCTTTACCGCGTTATATCCGAATTCGTGTTATATCGGGTCGCGTTATATCAAGGTAGCGGTGTATCAGATATTTACCACTAAGAGTAGTGGGAATCCAGAACAGCCAAGATTTACCAGAGATCTTAGGTGTATGAATTGACAATTAAGTATATTAGCTGCTTTATTACCTGCTCTCCCAGCTCTGCCCCCTCCCACATCTATAGATTCCAATACTGTGGTGTCTGAGTACCTGGATTTTCATATGTACCATTGATGCTTTGTTTTGATATGCGACACTGCGACAACTAGCTAAAGTAATCAGAAACCAATTAAATTGGTCTCTCATATTTTCATTCTAGAACTTTAAGAACTTTGGGTAACTCTTTGTTACAAACAAAAATATGGGTGAAAGAGGGACTGGAACTGTACTCTACTAATGACAACCAAGAAAAACATTTAATTTAGACCAAATAATGGACTAAAAATCAATCTTGATATGAGTTTTCCTAAGGAAGATGTTGTATAGGAGTACACCAAGATACAAAACTAGCCAAAAACTGGTATGTGAATCAACAATATGTCTGTTATTTGCACCTCTAACAAATGCTTGAATGCTTTCTAGCTTCCAGGGATACTGAAAGTATCATGTATGAAACACAATATTTTCAGTCCACAACCCATATTTGGAGCACATTAGCATATTTCCTTAATTACAGCTATAAACTCCAGTTCAGAAATTGCTGAAGTTTATTCTAGAGAAAACTGACATAGAAAAACAGTTGTCCTAATCAAGCATTTCATCAGCAAATGCACCCCTTATATATCCAAGCTACGAGAGTAGACTTGCTAGTACCTCTGGTAAGTAGAAAACATGCAGTAAGCTAACTAAAGAGCTAAGAATTCAAAAGGCAGGCACAACAGAAGCACAAAATAGTTGGTTGCTGGTTGGGAATTTAAGCCAGAAGCTTCTATTGTGAGGTGTAGCCATCAATAAGCCACACTGTACAAAACTGCACTGGGACAGGGTCATGCTTTAATGGTGAAACGGTCGAATAGGAAATGGATATTTTCTTTAAAATTACAGCATAAACTTTAAATTTTCTGTCTTGATCAGGAGAACCTGTGATTCTCCTTAAGAGTCAGCAACACTTTCTTTATCAAGTACTTGTCGTCAGCAAGATGGACATCCTCAGGCTCAATTCCACCTCCATCTTCCTTCTTGACTTAGATCTGCAGTATACCCTCCCTACCTCATATACAACTCCCTACAGCTCTGTGTCGATCTACCTGTCACCATCTCCTGCCTCTTGTTTTGGCTACCTGTCAGCTTGAAATGCCCATAGTTCAGCACAGACCTGCAGCCTGCCCTCTCCCACTCATGAAGCCGCACAGTCACATCACCTATCCTGCTCTAGCACCTATATTGAAGCCCAGTTCTTTTCAGGATCCATTGTGCAATTGCCATTTAAGCCTGCATGGACTTGTTCTACTAGACTCCAAAGAGCTCTGGCTATTCATCTAACAGTCACCTCCTTTGTGTCTCCATACGCTTTGGCCTCTGCTGCACCCAAGGGCAACAACTTTCTTGTCAACTGCCTTAGTAATTCTCATTTGAGAATTTCACTTGTCTGAGCCTCTCCATTTCTCTCTGCTGCTATGACAGGCTCATGCCTACATGCTGCCTCTTGGCTCATTGAGTTTACATTTGCCATAATGGGAGTTCTGCACATGAAGGACTTTCAGGACCAGACTCATTTTATTATTTAACTAATTCGCTCATATTAGCACTACTATATATTTTTTTTTCTCATCACATTTTCAAAATTTACACCGCAAGTAAACACACGCTTATCTCCTTCTGATTACCTCAATAGGTACCACTTGGAAGTCTATGGGGATTTGTTGCTCTCTAATCTCTTTTAATGCAGCCATAGCTATTCTTATGTCATCCAAATCCTTAATTTGTCGATTCAGTTTCTTGCCGATTTCCTCTACAAATGTGAAAATGTTTTCCATCTCAGTTCTGTATTTCTTGTTACAGTGACGCCCCAACTCAATCATCCAAGCCTTAGTTTCTGCAGCCAGTGCTAGCTTCAGGTCAGCTAGAAAACAGAGAACAAGTCATTTTAGATCATTTCCCCAAAAGCAGATTTTATACACGAGCCTCTTGTTAAATTGTCAGTACTTTTTCAAATATAGACATTGATTTTGTTTTCAGATGACTGTTACATATGTGTTTTATTCTTGTGTTTGTGGGCTTAAGAGATTTGGCAAAAAGCAATGTACATTTTGTCAGAATGATCATTTCAATTTCATCTTAAAACAATTTAATTGTCAAGAACCTGTTTTTGCCTTTAAGTGACATAAGGATGCTGGACAAGGGTCCTTGAGCCACTGAGCTTCGGTAGTTGGAGCCTATATGATTATAGAAGGCAGTTTATGTCATGTCTTCAGGGATGCTAGAGAGAGCATGCTGAAGAGTGGCAATGACTGTATCTCTACAAGCATTTCAGCGTCCTATTTTCACAAGTGCTATAACCAATGCTCCACCCTTCTGTAAGTGCATAACCTCAGTTCTAGCCTCCAGGTACAAGTGTGCATGTGGTGAGGGAAAAACCATGCACAGAACCCAGCCCACCACCCTTTTGGGGGTACATAATACTGTTCATAGCTCAAGGGTCACCCCAACCAGGGTGCACCTGAATGATGACTGATTCCTGTATTGGAGTGCTTTGGATGGACCCTGCACTCTTCCCCTGCTGTGAATTCACACAGAGGGAGCCATAGTTTGGCTCTTTACTTCATTTCTATTTTACACGATTGTGAGCGCTCACACTGCACATGTATTATCTTGTTCATCAGTTTAGTTGTCCACACTCCAATTTTATTCTCTGAACTATCAGGTTAAATAAAAACACGATGGGAAAGTTATCATTTAAATCATTTTAGAATAACTGGGGTAGGGAATTAAGTGAAATCTTAAAAAAAAATAATGATACACAAAACTACTCATTTAACTTGTAGGAGCTTTGCCATTTATTTAATGGGCACAAGTTTCCAATTTCAATGGGGAAAATTAAGGCCCCAATTCTTACTTCTGCTATGCTGCTGTAAAACCTTTTGAAGCAAGATCAAAATCAAGGACATGAAACTGCTCTGGCTTCAATGATGAATATATATTAGTGACAATGCATAGGATTAGTTTAAATTATCCCATTTAATATAGGTTATTGCTTGTATGTCCTTCTATTACCTGTGCAAAGTGTGACATTTATTATTTTGACCTGTCATATGCTCCTATGCATGGAGCCCTCTTATTCCCATGAGCATATTACCTGTTTTGTGGGTCACAGAATGAGGCTCCTCCCTCCCTCTGCAGGGCCACTAGCCCCCATGCTGCACAGGTGGGCAGGGAACGTGCAGGAAGGGGAAAGGCAGGCCGGCTGTGTCTTGGTTCTGCCCACGTGTTGGCTAGTGTGATTACATCACACACCCACACACCACTTTATCCCCTGCAACAGAGTGTCTCCCTCTGCTAGTGCAACTACACCCATCCCTTGCACCCATGCCACCAATGAGTTCTGAGCATACCAAGTAGTTTTTCCCCCCTAATAACTTTGAAACAATTTCATGAATTGATTCTAAATATAAGTAAATGCATTTGACTTCTTCCAAATAATAGTAACATTTTGACACAGATAATTCATGCTTCAGATCTGAGCATGAAGGGTAAAAGTAGATCTTATCACAGAAGCCTGGCTATAAGCTTAAGATACTGTCCCTCAACAGAATCTTTTTATGGGTCTCAGAGTTATAATTATTGGGAGAATTTAAAAGTGCATTTTAAGGCAATAGTCTCAATTGCTTCAATATGCATTAATGATAAAGGTTAGAGTGGGAAAGTATAACATTTGTTCTACAAAATACTTGAGTTGACCACTGTACCACTATATAGTGCCATAGCTCCCACACAGATGTATTCAGGCTCCAAGTTTATCTCCAGCTCCAAGTCTCTGAAATGGAGGATCTGGGACTCAAATTCAGAGAGTAAAGGATTCCCTGTTATGAACTTATTGATGGTTTCCTCCTTCTTCCTTTGCCAGATGTGGTCATAACATTTGAAACGCTCCAGAGCTGTAAGAACCTCCTGGAATAAATTACAAGGTCAAAGGAAGTTTCTCAATGAGCAGCTGTGAACAAGTAATTTCTCAGATATTTCAGATGTTGGTTCGAGTTCAGTTGAAGTAAATGGTGGGGTAAGCTGCATTTCAGCACCAAACAGGAGGGTGTTGAAATATTTAAGTTAAGGAAATACTGCTAGAATGCAATATCTATTCAGATACAAAAAAACTAATCATACTGAATATGGCTGAACAAGTCACCATGTACCTGTTAGATTATTTAGTACTAAAACCTTCCCTCAGTTACTAGTATGCAACCTCAACTACAAATCAGTGGAAATAATATGGTCCCTTTAGGTTAAAAGGGGCAATGTCTTAGGGGTTGTCTACACTACCCGCCGGATCAGCAGGTAGCGATCGATCATCGCATCTAGTATAGTATAGACGCGATAAATCGACCGCTGAGAGCTCTCCCGTCGACTCCGGTACTCCACCAGAACGAGAAGCGCAAGCGGAGTCAACGGGAGAGTGTCAGCTGTCAACTTACCGTGGTGAAGTCTCCGTGGTAAGTAGATCTAAATACGTCGACTTCAGCGATGCTATTCAAGTAGCTGAAGTTGCGTATCTTAGATCAACCCCGTGCGATAGTGTAGACAAGCCCTTAGTCGGTGTGATGGCAAGAATTCAAATAGAGGAGGCAATTTCTCTTCTCTTTGGATTATCTCTCTTCCCATAGCCAAGAAGAGTTTTGAGACAAAAGTGTGCCTAATTAGTTTGCAATCTTTATTTTTTTTATATTGCCTTTGGCATTTTCCAGTAACCCACTTCCATACTGCAACTTATGAATAATGAGAAATAAACATTACTTTGGGGTTTATTACTCGCCTATGAGGAAATAACCACTAACCTGGATTTCTACCAGTGTCATGTGCTGGACATTGCTATTAGATCCACAGGGCAGTGGTGTTCATTTATATGTTAGGCAGAACAGTGTTTAGGCCTTTTGCACACTGATGATGTACTGTGACATGCACATTCTCAACTGTGGCCTTTATTCCATCCATGAATGTATGCATTTCTGGCTAAATCTTCAATGCAGTTACCAGCCCTAAATGATGAGCTGGGTTCTGAGCAGATACAGGGTAGAGCAAAGTAAATCCCCCCTCCCAGGCTGCAGAGCACCTTCAAAAGCCAGTGGCTCTGAGTAGGCCCAGCAGACACTCGTTGCCCCTACAACAATACAGTCTCTGGGCCTATGGCTGACCTAGGGTGATCAGACAGCAAATGTGAAAAATCGGGACGGGGGTGGGGGGTAATAGGAGCCTATATAAGAAAAAGATCCAAAAATCGGGACTGTCCCTATAAAATCGGGACATCTGGTGACCATAGGCTCACCCCTTTCACACCATGACATGCAAGGAATATACACCCATAGGGTCATCTCCCCACAGCCAGACCACTGCACCTCAGGCAGCTGAACATCTATGCCCCCCTCCACAGCTGCAGAGGCAGCAGCTGGATTTTCCTCTGAGGGCTTAATACACCAGTCTTACTGAGGCACTCCCACTAGCTTTGGCAGAACTTTTACTTGAGTACTCAGGATCTTGCCTTCTCACCAATACATTTCTATAGCAAGTGTCTGGTCACTAGTGAAAAATTACCACCTCATTCTGTCAAAAATCATTAAGATGTACTAGCTACACTCTTTCAGATGTGTCCAGTGGGGTAGTTCACACCCTGGGGACTTATTATCCATTTTTAGTTTTATGTTAAACAATAAGCTTAAACTCCCATAAAGCTTTCAGGGCTGTGTGCTTTTTTACTGTTCAAAGTTACCCTTTCTAGACATGATGCAACTTTGCAACTACAAATGTTCTCTCTCCACCATCACAGTTTCTCTTGTTCTCATTAAGCAATTTTTATAAGCATGTCACCATCCTATATACATTAGCCCAGTGTTGTAGGCTCCTTATATTTCATGGCATAAGGAGTGCCATAGATAGTAAGATTCAACCATAGCCCTGCTTGCTTACCTTTTTGGTAGAACTGAGGACAGTACTAAGTACAGAGACCAATTTAATAATTTCCTTGTTCTCAGAAACACTTTTGTAGTAGTTTTTGTTTTGCACCGGAGCAGGCAAGTTTGCAGTTGCTATTTCTGAGGTGGTATCTAAAAGGACAGAGCCATTGAAAGTATTTGTAAAGACCAATTTAAGAAAATGTTATAATTCTCAGTTCGACAAAACTCCCAAGTTGAAGACATGTAGTCTCTCAATAGGCATTCCCTCTAAGTCTTAATATTTTAATCAATCAAAAGAGTATAGTCAATTTTACAAGTGGCTGATACAAAGCCATTCTTCACCAAAGACACCTAGTGAAGAGACAATCCTTGTCACCAAATAGCCACCTGTTCACTTCAAGCTCCCCAGCACAGAGTAGGGCAGTGCACTCTGTTTCGGTCTCACCCGAATAATCCCTGTTTTTCTTTCTTTCAAGGAGTTTATATCATGTACATCACTTGGAGTGACTAAGCCAAAAGTGTGGTATTTGGAAGCAGCATCAACCAGCTCTGGAGGAAGACAAAATCAAATCATCTCAAGCAGAGGGAGATGGGCCACCATTCACGTATATTGATATTAAAGAAAGGGGGAATCCCAAAAGGGCACTCTCTCCATCCTATGTCCTAAAAAATGGAAGTACTAAATTAGGGTTACCATACGTCCGGATTTTCCCGGACATGTCCGG